TGGTCTTTTTTGCCCAGATTTTTTTCCAGAGGTCTACTTTTTTTATCCCGATCTTATGTTATGTGTGTGGCAGGTTAGTCGAGTTAACCCGAGTTGATTGAAATTTTTTTTCTTAAGTTTTTATAATTTTTTTATAATTTTATAATTTGCATTGAATTATTTTTCTTTGAACTTTGTTATTTTTCACTTTTATTAATGTATGGTTATTTCAATAGCAAGTTGTTAAAGTTCACTCGGATAGACTCAGAGTTTTTTAACTTTTTTCTATTGAACTTTGATTTTTTTAGTAGGTTATTCTTTTAAAATTATTTTTTTATTTTAATTTTATATCGCGTGTTACTGGTTTGTTAAGTTAACCCGAGGTAACTTAAATTTTTTTATTTGAAATTGTATTTTTTGAAGTGTTCAAAAAAAAAAAGAAGCTATAAAGGAGCTATCCAAATATTTCATTGATTCACTCGGTGACAGGTATGTCTAGTGATAGAAGCAAGCATACAGCTTTGCATGTAAAGACATTAATTTAGATTGTTTTTGGTTGTCTGTTACTTATTTATTAATGGGGTCTGTCTGGTCTCTAAATAGTGACAGATTGTGTTGGCCCATTTGGCTTTGGATTTCCCAATGCGAAGGTGACATTTCCTTCACATTTAATTGGGTTATTGAACATTTATTGGTTTGTGGGTTGAAGGTCAAAAAGGAGGGGGGGGGAAAGAAGGTTGATTGGGCTTTTGACATTAAAATCAACTTTCTTGGATTCATGTATGGCTGCTGGCTACTTGGCTAGTGCTTAAGTGATTATGGAGGCAATAAAAGTTTGTGATGAAAATCCAAGGAATCCAATGCAAATTGAAAGGAGATTTGGTTGTTGAGTGGGTGATTGCTAGTTTAATTTCCACTTGGTGTGATACTATGAGTTCTAACATGGAGAGGCCAAGCTAGGAATATCAGAAATTATTATTATTATGCTATATATTATTCATATTTATTAAACCAGGTGAAAATCAAATAGGGATAATTGAGGACTTGGCAGATTTAGTTAGAATTGAGTTTTTTTAAAAAAAATAGAGGTGGCTTTGTTTGATTTGATTGATTTGATATGTATATTGTGGATGATGTTATGCACACACCACCCTCCCCCGGTGTACAGCTACAATCTACTGAGAAAAATAGCATAGCACATCATCCCTAGGCATTTAGAAATACTAGGCTACAAATCTTATTTGATAAATTAAAAAAAAAACTAATTAATATCACTTTTTTGTGTAGCTCTGAAAAATTATGGATTATAACAACATAAATATGATTTTAACAATTTTTAAAAACTAATTAAGCCTGTAATTGAAGTTAGAAATGCTTTTTATGGGACATTTAATCATTAAAAAATTGACTGGAGGCAAAATAATCCTGATATTTTTTTTTGTTATGGTGTAATAATTACTTTGCCATTAAAAGTAAAAATTATTAATTTTTGGGTGAGGGCCACTTTTGTCTTTTCCTTTAAATAACAATATAGTTCCAATCATACCTTGAAAAAAAATATATACATGCATAGAGGGGCTTCTCTGTTTTTTTTTTAAATAGTAAAATGACATAATTAATCTTACAATTTAAAAAAATAAAGGTTATGTACAAAGGTGTTTTGATCTTTTTTAAATGATTATGTTATTATTTTTAGGTTTTGTTAGGGAAGGCTTAATAATTTTAAGATTTTAAATATTATTAAAAAAAGATTGCACACACATAAACACATCATTTAAGTAGCGTGTGAGGGGTACGAGGGATTATGAGATAACCAAAGTCTTGGTTCCACCACAGTATTAAGAGCGATACATTATCTTGTTTTTTTTTTTTGCGGCATGGCATGTGCATAAGGAGGAGATCCGATTGGGCTGCAATAGAAGTTTTTTCTTTCTTCTTTCTTTTCTCTCTTATTTCTTAGAAAAAATGCACCTAAACTTCCAAAAAAACAATTGTGTTCTCCAGTTTGTAATTTTATCGATTTTGGTCCTCCTCCTTCTAATTACTATTTATTTGGTTTTTAATGCTTTTTGAAGTTTGAATTTTTTTAATTTTATCTTTAAATATTTAATTTAATTTAATTTTTTATCCAAATTATTCCATCTCCTTTTAGTTTCTCTTTTTCTTCGCTTTATACTTTTCTTGATTATTATTTTTTTGTAATTTCATTCCTTTAATTTTTTTTGCATTTGTTTTTTAATTCATTTTTTATTTTTATTTTTTTGATTTCTATATTCTTATTCTTTTTTTACTTTTTTTTTTTAAAAATTTCATCCATCAACATTTAATTTCAATTGGTTTTTTTATCCATTTTTAGTCATCATTCTTTCAATATTTTTTTTTTCATTTTGTTACTTCCTTTTATTTTTCAATTTAGCCCCTAATTATTTTCTTTCATTTTTTATACCATATTTGGGATGTATTGTTTGGGTTTTAAATTGTTTTAAGATTGAATATTTTACTTTTATTATTTTTTCATCTTTGTCTTCCAACAAAACAATCATTTATTGAAAATTGATTTTTTTTTTCAAATTTATCATTTCACATTTGGTTATTAAACCCTTAGCTTCATTGTTTTTTATGTTTCTATTTTTATAGAGTTATCATGATCTCATATCTCTTGTAAGAGATTAATAAAGTTAATCATGGTTGTTTTATAATTCTTTTCCTAGTTTTTTTTTATGAAATTGATTTTTTTAACAATTTCGTACTTTGATCTTAAATTATTAGCTCTTGAGCTATGTGTTTTTTTTTTTTTCCATTGGGTTATCTTGAGTGCGGGTTAATCAAGTTAACTAGGGTTAACTTTCATTTTCTTATTCAATATTTTTTTTATTTAACTTGTCCTTTTTTGCCAAGGTCTTTTTTTAAAAGTCTATTTTTTTTTATCTCGATCTTATGTTATATGTGTAGTGAATTAGTCGAGTTAACTCGAGTTGATTTAAATTTTTTTCTTTAATTTTTATAATTTTATAATTTTGCATTGAATTATTTTCCTTTAAACTTTGTCATTTTTCACTTTTCTTAATGTATGGTTATTTCAAGAGCAAGTTGGTAAAGTTAACTTGAATAAGCCTGAAGTTTTTTAATTTTTTTTTATTAAACTTTGATTTTTTTATTAGGTTATTCTTTTAAAATTATTTTTTTATTTTAATTCTATATCGCGTGTTACTGGTTTGTTAAATTACCCTGAGGTAACCTAAATTTTATTATTTCATTTTGTATTTTTGTATTTTTTGAAGTGTTTATTTTTTTTACATCCATGACATTAAATGAGTAAGTCTTAAATCTTATAATTATATTTTACAAGTTTTTTCAATCTACCGTATCTTAGTTAATAGATTAAGATCGCTTCAATGTTTTTTTTTTTTCTAGTGTAAAGAAAAGTTTAGCCTAACTCCCCACATTACGTGGCCATCTAGCCAGTCCCGCCACTGCATCGACAATGAATTGCGAGGAAATACAAGCTCATGAAAGCCTATCTGTCTTTTCCACTTACTACACTCTACTAAGGGGCTAAGAGAAAAGTTAAAAAAAAAAATATTTTTTATATAAAAAAGTCACAAAACAATGAAAGTAAATAGGAAAAGATTTATGGTTTTAAGCACACCGTTAAATTAAGCAATAAATATTTGTGGTTCTTCTTCCTTCCTTTTTCTGCCCTCGAAGAGACTTAAGCCAGATTACAAGGGGAAAAGAAATCCATCCTGTAAATGCAAAAAAATCCTTCTCGTATAAGCCGATGTTTTTGGTGTTATCACATCAAGCCAGATTTACTTGCCTTTGCTTTTCTTGTTTTCAGCTACAAAGTCAAAAGTTTCAGGCGGGAAGGTCCAACTGAGCACGGTCACCGTCAGGCCAGGGAGTTGCATCTTTCGTTTTAGGAGGAGGGTTCTTGCCTGGAGAGATCATCGTGTTATTACCATGATAAGAAGGAGGGCAGTAGGCACAGGATTTTGTGTTTTTGGAAACAAATGCATGCTTTTGTTTATATTAGGAGTACCATGGTCCACCTAATTAATTAATTGGTTTTATAGCATCATAATTACATTTAATCTCTATATTTTTAATCTTTTCACATCTTAATTATTATTTTTTTAAGGAAAAAATAGAAGATAAAAGATGTCAGATTATATAAAATAATTGATGAGAAAATAACATGTAATTAAATTAAATATAAACAACAACAATGACAAAAAAAAATTTAATTAATTAGTTTTTAAAACTAAATAGTTAAATTAAAAGAATTAATTTATAATTTACTTGCTTATATATTTAAAAAATTATATGTATAAGCTTGAATCAGCTTCGCCAAATCTAATCTAATTTCAAGATTTATCTGAATAAAATTATATGAAAAACACTCTCAAGAAGATATAAAACAAATATTAATTCAAAAAATATTATTTTAATCTTTTTAACTTATCAATCAATGAAATAAAATCAAATATTCACTTAAAATCATAGTATCTCTAGCTACCACGAGTCAAATGCGGCTTCCCTAGCAACCCTTCAAGTTCTTCTCTATATAAGCAGCTAGCATCGCGGAGCATCATTGTCATACGTACACAGACTGATCACACATATCACAAGACTACATTGGATATTCTGTAACTTGAGAAATGGAGGTGCAGGAGGCATCATTATCTGATTTCTTGATCAAGTTGGCCATGTTTGTGCTTGTACAAGTTTTGGTGTATCTAATACTTTCTAAGTCATCTAATGTCTTCTCCGAGAACAAGACAAAGACCATTCAGCTTCAAACCTGGTCGTTCTCTTAGCATTCGCAGTTTCTTGGATGCTCTTTCTGACATCCCACTAGGCAGCAGTGACCCATCACCATTATGAAGCGGTTCAAAATCATCCACCCCCCAAGATTCTATCTTTGATGATTATGGATCTTAATTCAGTGCTTAGCTAAAAGTAGCACTGTAATTTACTTATGTTTCTACTAGAAGATTTCTCTGTTATTAGCTATGCTATGATGATGGATTTCTTTTTTTTGATTGAATTAACAAATTGCTGTATACAATAATAGAGATTAACCAGCCTGCCTGTGGCTTGTAAATAAATGAATAATTTCAGAAATTTACAGGACTTGTGAACTAATGATTTTTGCTGTGGTCCTTTTCGTTGTCAACTAATCTACCTGCAGCTGCATAAGCAGTCTACAGGAACTGGACCACCCTCTTTGACCACCCATGGATGCTTAGCTACATCATCCAAGGTAATTCTTTGCATTGGATCTGCATACAAAAAGATAGCAAGGAGAGAATTAAAATTGGAAAGTTTTAACACTTAAAGACTTGTAGAAATTCCTGCAAATTCATTCAAAATAAACAGCAGGAAAGATTCTGCTGCTTAAGATTTTTAAGAGGCTAAGAAGTCTGCATAAGAATTGAGTTAGTTAAAACATAAGAACTAGGAATGATTGTCCTTATGATCTTTCCTGTGTTACCTTTGCAGAGAAGACCTTGCAGAAGATCTTTGAGCTCGGAATCTAATTCTTCTGGAAGTGGTAAAGGACTATTAACAATCTGTCGAAAGGTAGCTAATATTTCAGTAGACATAAAAGAAAAAGAAACACACGAGAAAAAGAAAAAAAAGTGAGGAGATTACCTTGTCGCAAGTTTCAGGTACGCTATCAGCAAGAAAAGGGCAGAAACCGAGCACCATAGAGTATAAGGTAACCCCCACAGCCCATATATCAGCAGCTTTTCCATGGTAAACTGTATCTGGTATAATCCAAGAATCCTTGTTTCTCAGCAAAGTAATTGATTTGCTTCTTTATAATTCTACAGTATTGAATTACTGTCTTTTCGTTGAAAATAAAAAACTTATTCTGTTTCACTTCACACCCAGTTTTATGGTTATACATCGCAAATTCTCTACGTCATCTAGCTCCTGAATTCCAAAACCCTACACTACTGAAACTGTGGAAGTATGTGAACATGTTGTTTTCGATCTGATATTCGTATGCAGTTGAGACGTGAAGATAGGCGATGATCATAGCTTGTAACTAATGATGCAACGCATGAGCCCTTGGGGCTAGTGGAAATAATGAACATACCTGAACAACACTCTGGTGCAATGAAAGCTGGAGTTCCAGGACATCTCAATAGCTCATCATTGTCATCCTGCAGATTATAATTCCTAAATAAGAATAGTTTGTTGTAGGTCTGCACAAAAAGCTTAAAAAATGAATAGCAGTAAACGCGGAATGTGGTAGCTGTAGCTCTTTATTGGTAGGTCTGTAGATTAGTGTTGTTGTTGTCTAATACATCAGAAATAGTTTCACCAAAGGAATTTTCTAGATTAATACTTGGTGGTAGTGGAGTTCTTGAACTGTAAGAAAAATGATTTTAAGACAGACAACAAAAAGAAGAAGAAGAAGAATGAAGAATCACGAAAATATTAGCAGATGAATCATCATGAATAGCATTACCTCAAAGGCATGGCCAAAGCTGAAATCAACTATTTTCACCCCTCCACTGGTAGTGACCAAAATGTTTTCTGGCTTAATATCACCATGCACAATATTCTGTTACCAATAAAGGAGAATGATTCAGCTTTTTGCTAGAAAGGGACATGTCTTCAAGAGGGAGGGAGCATCACTGAAAGATGTGTTCTATAATAAGCAACTTACATGATGATGCAAATAAATGAGACCAGCAATTACATCCTTGAAATATCTTCTTGCAGTTGTTTCATCAATCCGTCCTTTCGTCTCCAAAATGTTGCTCACAGTACTGCTTTCCACATATTCAAGAACTGGATAATAGCAACCACATGACAAAAGAGAGATAGAAGTGCATCATTACGGAACTCCTTGTGACATTCTTGACACAAATGCTTCAAAACAATGGAAGAGGCTATCAGTACCCATATACAGATAATCTGATTTTTGGTCATCAATCACCTCAACTAGGTTGATTATGTTTGGATGTTCCAAAGTTTTCAATATGGATACCTGAAAAAAAATAAAAATAAAATAAATCATCAACTTTCCCACTACAAACTGGCCATGGCGCGATCCAGAATATGGATTGAATGGTGATAAAAAGATCCAGTTTCAGAAGCCTACTAAATTATGAACTCAAATTCAGAATGCATCAACTGGCCAGCAATTATATGGGGATTAGACCAGCTGAATAAGATTGCATATGCGGATCAGCTGTTCTTGTATGAAACCGAGTGAGCAGCTCTGGCCGCAATCAGAATTTGTCAAAAACTTGCAGTGCCAAGAATGAAAATGCTCATCAAATAAGCTACTTGCATCTAGAGGAAATCTTTATGTAACAAATCCAGAATGTGATCTTGAGAAGATAGAGGAACAACTGAGTGCAGTTTGTGTAAGTACCAATGCATGGACAAGTGGCAGACCGAAAAAGGACTGCATTGAATCAGTAGAATTGGAAAAAACGAAAGATATGAAATAATGGACTTGAACCCAGAAATCTGAATGGTGGAAATACTTTTACGCAGCTGATTATCCAAGCCAGTTGCCAAAAAAAACAAAGCCACTAAGAGAAGAAAGAATTATGATTGCTACATGGTAGAGGCACAGGAAGGCCTTAAGTTTGATGCCATTGTTGCAAGCTTCAGATCACTATTGACCATAATTCTATAAGCATCGCACAGAATGGTCCTTGTACAGGCAGTGTGTTGTAAAGAAAAAGTAAAGTGCAGGGTCATTTGGTCAGTTTGATGTGAACTTTGAAGAGATGGTCTGAATAATACATAACTGAATTATTACAACTCAGAACCTTTGGCTACTTCAAGATAGTAACTGCTGAGATGTGGAATCACAGTAGATGAAACCCTAAACGATCTTATAAAAAAGCTGAAAGGATATTGCTTGAAACAAGAGATAAAACAACATCACAGCATGATCAAAATAGAAAGTAGTCCTTGAGTTTGAGAACAGATGAAAACAAAGAAAAACATCAATGAAACACAGGTTCTTACTTCTCTGAGAACATCAGCCATGGCTGTTTCTGATCCTGTGATGCGAAATTTGCGCAAACGAGACTTGCAAATAACCTACAAGAACAGTGGAATCCTGGTGATGGATGTGCAGTTAAATAAAGAGAAAGAGATCATTCATCATGGTTCAAGATATCAAGAGAATCAATGTCAATGTTTTGGTTGGGATCAAACCATAGAAGATAGGTATGTTAATGTTTGATAAATCAAAGCAACGAATTGAAGCACCATAGTGCAGGATCAATGGAACCTGGTTGTATCAATGAGCAAGTCCAATAGCCATTTCACCTCCATCCCTAATCCCATCTTGATTTACAGAAAATCCATCAAGATATTGCCATATATCTATCAATTTCATGTATTCAGCAAGGGAATTGCTTTCAATATTGCAAATCTTGTTATATATCGCGAAACTTCCTGGTTAGTTAGTTGTTCGTAGGGCAGAAGTCCTGTACTAGCAGAAAGTGAATCCATAGCAATGAAGAGGAGAGGATGAGTACTTCAGCGATACTGTTTTGAGGTTAGTTTATTTTTCAACCATAATTGAGCTTGAAAAAAATTATAATTCTAGATAATCCTAACAAGTAATCCTTAACTATAACGAGGTGTATTTACCTTAATAGCATAAGGAGTTCCACTGTTAATGTTTCGATAGAGTACCTGCACCAACTTTGTTATTACCTCAAGTTAAATAGAAAGCAAGCAGTAGAAAGTAGGGAATCTGCATGTTGTATATATGCTTACCACTTTACCATAGCTTCCTTGGTTGATCCTCTTCTCTTTTACATACTCGTTGATCATCTTTCTTCCATTTGAGTGCTATCCTCACCATACAAGTTTCAGTAAACCATGTTTGATAATTTCCAAACAGAAGAGCAAACGAAATTGGTCAGTAATCGAGCCGAATCGATGCTTTCTACACAAATACTAAAGGCAATAACTTGCGCTTGTTTCATTTTTTTGAGTTTTTACCTTAGAATGCCTTACAAATGTGGTAACTGTAACAGGGATCTTCTTACAAGCCCGAGGCTTCCTTGGTGAGCATGGAGTTGATTGTTCTCCATTCTTATCAACAGGAAAATTCCCACTGGATAAGTCCTGGTAGAAAATGTTCTCTGCATCATCTTGTCGACGGTCAACGTTGCTCGCACACTCTTGAGAGAACAGATTGGATGTGGAGGTCATAGGTAAAACAGGCCTCTTCGGATTCCGATGATTTGTCATCGAGTTGCAGCAGCCTGAATCTTCCTTGAACTTGGAGTATAGCAAGGTAGATATTATGTGACATGCAGAAAAATCCCTTTACAAACTCCTGCTATACACGATTAAAACCTTAACCACAAGGAACTGTCCTCCGGTAGCAAAGTTAGACCAAGCAAGCAAGCAACAGGTGCAGCTAACCCCACACTCTGGCTTGACTGGTAGCTGGGCAAAACCTATCAATGTAGAATGTCTCATATGACATCTACGTTAACTGAACTGAACTTCATTTTATATTGCTCTATGTATTTTTCAATTATTTGCACTGCCCTCGTAGAGTAATTTATTTTTCACCATGTTTTATTTTTTTATTTTTTTTAAATCTCCAAATTTTAGTTTGACCTTTTCTTCTATCAAAATTACGCGTGTTTTTTCATTCATCACATGATAGATGGGCACTTCATCAAACTGGCCCAAGAAGTCGTGTTATTTGTCCCTTGCTTCAAGAAATTGAAGTCCTCGCCACTCCTTACTTGATGATCTAGATTATTACACGTGTGAATGAGAAATCTAGCACATCCAATACGGGAATGCTAGACATAGTCTAAGCTACATTAATAAAAATTATATCTTTAAAACTTGATTATTTGAGCTCATGAATAGGGATGATTTAGTACCATGGTATCTCAATTTTGTTAATAAAGTCATCATAAATTTAAATATTACTATTTTATTTTTATTTGATATATTTAAACATAAAATAATAATAATAAACATGATCAAGTTTTAAGTTCAAAAAGATTTTTTTTGAGAGAATTTATTAGAAAATAATACAAATTATATTTTAAAGAATTTCATCTAATAATTTAAAGTTTTAGATTGAGATATCTTTTTGATAATTAGAATAAATTAAATTTCTATGTTAAAATATACATCAACTAGTATGTATAAACTAGCATGTATAAAGATGATTATCTCAATACCTTGATACAAAAGTTTATATAATAATTTTATGAATTTAATAATTTCTTTTAATGATGCAGATTCAGTCTTATAGTATATTTATTGTTATAGTATATTTTTTTGATTTTTGTTTAAAAATTAAATTTAAAAAAATTATAAATTATAGCGAGAGTTAAAAAAATTATAAATATATTTGGTTAGAAATAATTATATATTTTTTACTTGAATCAAAGGCTTGAACAAAATTGAGTCAACATCTTAATTTAATTAAAATTTAAAGTTTTTAACTCATGAATTCTAACCTGCACTACATCTATTCTTTTTTTTTTTTTTAAAAAAAAATTGATTTGAATAATTTTTAATAAACATATTTCTAACTTGAAGTCATTTTAACATATTTTTGTCATAGAACATGTTTTAAATTGTGACTCAAAAGTGAAAAAAAAAACATTTTTTATAAGTACACCAATTAGACTCTAAATGCATCAAATTTTCCCTTATTTTTTCTTTATTAATGGTCAAATATTTGATTATGCTCGTTTAAACTGCTGTACAATGTTTTCTATATGTGTTGTAAGGTGATGGTGTGAGAAATATGATTTATATATAGATATGCAAATATTCTTATTTTTTATATACAAAAACTTTTTAAATACAAGAGTGAATAACGTCAACCTATGATGTTAAAATCAAGTCGTTTATTAGAGATAATTAGTAATGTTTCAAGGCGGGTTACAGAGGGGGATGTAGCTCAGATGGTAGAGCGCTCGCTTAGCATGCGAGAGGTACGGGGATCGATACCCCGCATCTCCATTCTTTTATTTTTTCCCCTTAGATTTCCTTTTCATTGAAAACCGCTAAATTCACACTGCTCTAAACCCACAGCACTTTCCCTCACTGCTCCAATCAAGAGTCAATCCCACCTGATGTGGGACCCACATAGCGCCTCATTCAACGCACCTATCCCGCTCACAACCTTAAACCAAGCTGTGGTTTTATCATCTCTCTCTCTCTAGGCAATCCACTTCTTCAGCCACAGCCTGAGCCAGAGAAGAGGAAGATAACACACGTAAATCAAGGATTATTTTATTTATTAAAGTAATATCGTAGACCCTAAAATCAAGAAACATTCACAATACAGTAACCCTACTCTTAATTGTTTTCATTGGCCCTTAATTTGCAGAAAAATTATATTTTCTAACACGTTATAAATATTGATGATGCAAGAGCCTCTTTGAAAAATTGTTTTTTCTTAATTTTGATTGTTAGTTGAATTCTATATTAGCTCCATAGTTATTTACAGGGTTTAGGCCTAAAGTTATTATAAGTAAAATTATCTAGTTTAGTTTTCAGTGAACTTATTTTATTTAATGAAAACTAAAAAGAAGAAATAAATTATTATAGAGTTGATATAGAATCCAACTTCAAGGTTATTTATACTTTCTTTCTTAGCTGCTTAACTTTTTCAGCGTCAAATTTGAATTTGTTTCACGAATTTTAAGATCACAATTTGATGAAACCAAAAACATATAATCCAAAGTGAAACTATACCAAAATTTAAGGGACTAGAATATATTTTTTCATTAGTGAAATGATTTTTCTCCAAATGGTTCTGTAAATAACACAGTTATAAATATATTAGTGTAAGCTATAGATTGCAGGTACACAGATTTGAAATTTCTGGCATCAAATTCACAAAACCGGAACACAAGAAACAATGAGTGCATCAAAAACAGTGAGGAAGGTGGAGGTGTTGTCACCAGTACCTGCAGACATAGACATTGCTAACTCAGTTGAACCTTTTCACATATCAGAGATTGCTAAAGACCTGAATCTTAGTCCTAAACATTATGATCTTTATGGAAAATACAAGGCCAAGGTGATTTCTTTTTCCTTTCTTATGATGGGATTTATATTATTTTTTCATACCCCAATTCATTTTATTATCAAGTGACTGTTTTCTTGCTGTCTTGTGGTAGTTTTGTGTTGATTATTTTGATGGTTTTAGATTTTTTCTTTGAAAGATTCAATATTTTTTTTAAGGTTATTAGATTTTCGTGTTTTTATAGAAGAAGCCAAGGAAATTGATTTGTTGTGTTGTTTTATAGGTACTGTTGTCTGTGCTTGATGAGCTTGAAGGATCAGGAGATGGGTACTATGTGGTGGTTGGAGGGATTACTCCTACACCACTTGGAGAAGGGAAGTCCACTACTACTGTTGGCCTCTGTCAGGCTTTGGGTGCATTTCTTGATAAAAAGGTAGCATTTTGTTTTGTTCCATTTCTTCTTTTTTACTGTTATCATTCCATTCTTTCTTACTGTCCATGTTCTGTGCGGTCAATGTCGTTGAGTTTTGTCTGGGCGATAAAATTTTTGAACTTGTATTCCATTATTTTCAAGCTACTAGTATGCATTTAAAATCTTGTTAAATGTAGTCAAGAATTCATACTGAGTTTTGTACTGGCTGATTACGAGGAAAGTGCCGTGTAGTATCTGTGGAGCTGAAATAAGATAGGAGATAAAAATTCAGCTGCAAAAGTTAAGGATGACTGTGGAGATAGTTCTACCATTTTTCACTTTTTTGCAAGATTGGAGTGTACTCCCATGATTCATTTTTTCACAGTGGTAGTTGCAAGGGTACGATGTTGCTGAGTCATTGTGCATTTGGCCACGTCCAATCTAGTTATTAAATATTGTGTTTATGCACACTCTCTAATCGTTTTTAAATTTATACGGTACTCCTGTTTAAGTTAAAAATGGATGGCCACAATGTATTTGACCATACTGGATATGAAATGATTACTGGATTGTCTTAAACCTTCGTGTGATTGAAATCACTGAAGTCTGAATGGGAAACAGGCTAACAATCGTTGAAGGATTCCTTTGTGTAGATTTGCCAAGCTTGACCAGTTGTTGATGTAATTCAGCTTTCATTTCAGTATATCAAAGGCTGCTTCTTTTGGTTGCTTTATACTGAGGCTCATGCTGGTGTCATTGTCATGCAATGGCTTTCTAGAGGCAGAAGTTATATCAGCATCTGAAGGTTGGCACCATTTCATTGGCGAGGTCCTTCATGAGCTGAGCCTGAGAGTGTCACAAACTAATCCAGTCTAAGATGTGAATGAACTACAATATGTTTCAGAAGGATTATGAGAAAGCCACACTTTTTTGTTGAAATACTCAACATATTCTGGCTTGAATTGCTTGCAAGGATGAATTTGAAACATAGATTACAACGTTTTTTAATGTCAAATTGAAAACTACCTGCATTCTGCTATTCAAAGTTCCAATTAGTTACATCCAATCACCTTCACATGTATCAATTTACTGGTAATTGGAATATGCACACCTATGTTAAACGACTGAACTTATATAAAGCTATGTTAGAAATTTGGTATGTTTTATTTGCATTCCTTTGCAATGAAAGGTGAAAAGAGCAGTAAAGTCGGCTCAAGCTTTCAAATTTCTCAAGAAGATAAGCCCAAAATTTGCAATCTTGTAAGCTACCACATTTCCTCTGTTGCTTTTTAGTCAACAACTCAGGAAACTGATCTCTAGTTAAATGTCTGCAGTGCCAAAGTCAAAATTTCATTTCTTGTTTCCTTTTGTTCACGAGGATGTTTAGGAAACTAGATACGAATTTTTCTTTGCAGTAGGCAGTGGTGTTTCATCATTGTTTTCTTTTAATCTTTGGTTTAAATGATTGTACGGATACAAAATTCCAGATGTGCCTCTGTTGTTATGATAGGATTTCTTTATGTTTCTGAGCCTAGGTTGTTACCTGCCTTCGTCAACCATCGCAAGGACCAACTTTTGGAATAAAAGGAGGTGCAGCAGGTGGCGGTTATAGTCAAGTAATTCCAATGGATGAATTCAATCTTCATCTAACAGGAGATATTCATGCAATAACAGCTGCAAATAATCTCCTAGCAGCTGCTATTGATACCCGGATTTTCCATGAGTCTACCCAGTCAGACAAGGCTCTTTTAAACCGCTTATGCCCACCAAACAAGGAAGGAAAAAGAAGCTTTAGTGACATAATGTTTCGGCGTCTGAAGAAGCTTGGTATCTCCAAGACTAAGCTTGAGGAACTCACACCACAAGAAGTAAAGAAGTTTGCTAGGCTTGATATTGACCCAGCTTCCATAAC